ACTTTTATTGACAATTTCCATGCAAAACAAAGTCAAACAAAGAATATTCGGTATGGTAAATTTTTTTTTTTCCAAATTTTTTTTTTTACAATTGAAACACATTTTAGACCCAATGGTAGAAAAAATTATCACTTTAATGGACAAATTTCTTAAAAAAAGGAAATCAAATGGACACTAAACTTTCAACATTTTCCATGAAAAATTATACCAATCAAACACAATTAATTACAATTCTCAGTAAAGTATTTTCTAAAAAAATCAATTCCCTGTCAAACATTTTCTTTCCACTCATGCAATCAAACGGACCCTAAGAAAATCAATTCCCTGTGAAACATTTTCTTTCCACCCATTTTTCACCCTTACAATCAAACGGACCACAAAAATGCGGGTTACAAGTCTGGGAAAGTTAATCCACAGCCACAGAAGCAACTGACCACAAATGAGTGCTCCATTTAAAGACTCTAGTGTGGTAATTCTCAATTTACCATGGCCTTTTTAATCATAATCGAGCAAAATCGTTCTATTTATTACATATATCAAAGTAGTTCATTAACTTTTATTAGCTTTAACTCTTCAGACTTACGATTCCATCTGCTGGCTGAAGACAAAAAGCAAATATCCTTGTTGTCAAAAACAGAAAAAATAAGGATTACAGCCGATCAAGAATTCATTAACCTCATTAAAACTGTTATCAACATTCTATAGTACAACAGGGAAAAACAATGTGGACTAAAATGTCGGATTTCTAAATTATCATTGCACGTCTGCAGAACTCATTTGCCATGTCTGAAGTGATGCAGTTATTCCTACATCAGTGGCATTGTGAAACAGGAAGAGACAAGCATCTTCGCCTACAGCTGTTGTCGGATATATACGCGAGGTGATGCATGTCCGACCGCCTTGAGCAAAACTCTCGACTATTGAGTGATCCAACTGCATTCAGAAAAAAAAAACATTCTCACAGTTAGTACTTAATTCTGAGTTTAGTTCTCAAAATTTTGGGGAATTAACCTTACCAGTATTCTCATAGACAGTTTTTCGCCTTTTAGTATTGACACTGTACTGCCATACATTGCCTTGTCAACATCCGGTGCCTTAGACGACCTATTACATACAAAATTTATCGCTATCAGTCCCTCTGTCTCGATAAATCAATTAAACACGATGAATCTTTCAATGGATGGATTCAAGAAGACCTTGAACGATCAGCACAAAAGAATGTCTCGAACTTCCATCAGTGTCTTTGGAAATATAGAAGTAAACTGGAGTTTGCTCGACTAGGTCCTTATTGGTGAGGACCAATAAACCAAATGGTCCTAATGCACCTCTTTCAGCTGCCCTGCCATTCCCATTGCAACTGTAGGTTGTGTTAGTACCATTTATTCTTTCCAAGTCCTTCTGATCCACCTCAAACTCAACCACAATATCTAGCTGCAAAATCAAGGATATTTCTATATGTTGATACTAATAAATTCACTTCATTAAATTTTCATTAGCTAAATCCAATGAGAAACATACCTGAGTGGCAGAGCCAACTTCTAGTGGCATCACTTCACCAGCTTTGGCCTCCACTTCGTTGAATACCTTCTTCTTCAGTCTTAACTTCTCAACCCCCTCAACTGGCCATAGTACTTAGTTACTACCTGTTTCCTTGTCCAACAGAATTGTCCTCGGAATAGCCAATGTTGCAGAAGACAACTATCATGAATACAAATGATGCACAAAACGTTAAATGTTTCTGTTTATCAATATTTTCTAATCCATGATTGAAACATAAGTCTCAATAGTTCTTTACAAATAAGATAAGATGTAATATTAGAAATTCACACTTGTTACATTAATAATAGCATCAATGATGATAAGAAATATTGAATTCTCATATACCTGAATAGATGACCTATTGGGGAAAAATAGGAGAATCAAAGTAGATCAATCAAAACTGAAGGCCCGTGTTTACACGGTTTCCTTAAATCGAATTCGCCGCCTCACCGGAGTGCAAGAGGTTATGATCAGTGTTTGATTTCTAGGATACAATCGGTTGTCGGTTCACGCTGCACTACATTAACCGCCTACGAACTAGCTGTGTCTCTCTCACAAAGAACTTAGCAAAGGAAGAAAAAGGAAATAAAAACAGAGGCTGCTGGAATTGAAGGAGGAGGAAACTATTTTGTTTTCTGTTGTTGTATTTTCTGTGTTCACTTCCATTTGAGAACTCTTCTATTTATACCCATAGAGGAGGAGCCAGCTCTTTAATGCATTGAATGAGGAGTTACAGCATTGAAGAGGAAACTGATGAAATTCAAACGGATGATACTAATTTCCATTGATTTTCATTAAATATTTCCAACACTATCGACACCACCTAGGCATTGAGACCCGGCACTCAATGCTCAATCTCTATCCCAAGCACTCCAAAATCGTTTTTCATCCATTCTAAAGTCCTTCTATTCAAACTCCTAATTCTTAATGAAATTTGATCATTTTTCAAACCGGACATCCAAACTAAGAAGACTTTTGTTCCTTTTATCAATTAACTCACCCAATCCTAATCCAAATATGATTTTGGATGATACTCCAACAATCTTCACCTTAACATAAATTCCAATAGATTGAATTATTCTTCAAGCAATTATCCAAACATAGTGTTCCGAACACACAATTTTACCTCTTCTACCATACCCCTCTGGGCATACTCAGTAATTGTGAACAAAATCCAAGGCCTGTTTATCAGCACAACTATCTTGGGCTACAAACTGGCTTGAATCATCCCGATTACTGCCAACTCCACCTGCATTACCGAACCTATTCGAATTATCCTCACAAGTAACCCAATCACTACCATTTTCATCTGAGATAACGTTTATTATACCATAAGCAACCATATCAGCCTCACTGAACTTCTACTAAGGTCTAACACTTCTTTGGTGACAGTTTCATCAATTGTAATCTTTGAACCCTGTAAGACATATAACTAAGACTTCTTATGCCCCTTCATCACACCTGGCACCCTTGCTAACTTTTAGAACTCCACCTTTACCAGTATACATGTACTCCTTTGAATCAAGAGTACTCAAGGAGATGATGTTTCTCTTTAAGTCTGGAATATATCATATCACCAAGTGTCCTGACCGTCCCATTAAACATCTTAATTTCGACACTGTAAATACCAACTATCTTACAAGGCGAATTATTTCTTGTTACCATAGAACCCCTTATAATAGTTTCATATGTTCCAAACTAATTCCTGTTTGGACAAATATGAAAGGTGCAAGCCGTATTAAAAATTTAATTTTTGTCAGGTTTGAAGTCACCGTTAGAAATAGACAAGAGATCTCTATTACTATAATCATCTTCTAGTACCATGTTGTCCATTCTGATTTGTAACAACAAATTTATTCCAGTTCTATCGCTTTGGGCCATCCTTCTTTTTGTGCTCTTTTTTTTTGTAGAAATAACAGACTATATCAATGTCATTAGCCTTAAACCTGCCCCTTCCATGACCACACGAAGACCCTCTACCTTGGCCTCCGATCCGACGATCACCTACTTCATCTTCTCTCTAGAATAAAATGTGTCATAAATCTTGTCCATGTTGAGAGTATCTTGAATATATAAGATGATGACCGTGAATGTCAAATATGAAGTGGGAAACAAACATAACAAAATCAATCCTAAGCCCTCTTCATCGTACTTGAGTTCCACGATCTCTAAATTCGTGATGATTTTCTTGAATATAGACAGAAGATTTTCTGAAGATCTACCTTCTGACAAGTGATGATAATTTAAACCCTGCTTTAGATGCAGTTTACTGGTTAGACTCCGAGTCACGCATAATTGCTCCAACTTCAACTATGATGCAATGGTGCTATTCTCCTTTACCACATCCTGAAAATTTCGAAAGATGAAGATGTATCTGTGATATGACCTTTCGATCATTACACTGTTTCTCCACCAGTTTATAATAGTAATTTTAAAGAATGTGTGGTTAAAAAGTATGAAAAAGTTTTTGGTCTACGTGTGAAAAGATTTTATTATAAAAATGTATAATTAAAAAGGAGTTTGGAAAAAAAAGAGTTTTTATAGAATGGGGGTCAAATAGGGGCTAAAATGTCGTGGAATGTACATAAATTGTAGATTCTATATATTTACCCTTCCAAGTTTTTATTTTCAAGTATGAAATGACAATGTTGCCTTGGTTGATATGATGGTTGATACCTTCGATTTCACTGGTAGCAAACTATGTCATTTTCAAAAAAATTTGTTTAACAAAATTACAATTTTACTAGACAATACGTGATAAGGATTTTTACACATTAATGATATTTGATTATTATTTCAAAATGTCTAAACCCATCATTTCAAGAGATAACTTTTCGTATCATCTTTTAATCATAGGTCGTGGGCTCCATTATAAACAACTAATATTATAATTAGAAATATAAAGATAGCTAACTAACTTTTTTCCAAAATATGCGTAAATTTACCTTTACCTCTACATGTCTATTTGTAAAGAAGGAACCTACTAGAATTCGATTAGGATATTGCAGCACTAATTGCAAGTGCCACACCTTTATTGGCTCGTAGAGACGTGGTTCATTATGAAAAAACTTCCCTTCACTATAAAGATTCCTTCTTGGATTTAGTTTCCTTATGAGGTTTGATCCTTCTAAATTTTCCTTGAACATTTGAGATTTAACGCTGATATTGAGAAGTTCATAAAGAAATTTCCTTCTGGAACACATTCACTCAAAATACGACTAGCTATCCCTTGGATCACAAATTCCTTCATGAGGGCATTTATTAGTTGGCAAGGTCATGTACTTCGCCTAAAAATCCTCTTCGGAGAAACCCATTAAGGCTTTGCTGTAAGGTTTCAAAAGAGGAAATGCTCGACACATGGATGAGGCTTGACCATAATGGTCATAAATGTGAAAACTTTGAGGGATGATGCAAAAAACATTGTTTAATGCTTTCAGCTTGTAATAGCCCTTCATTAACACAACCACTCTTCCATATGAAGCATGGGAATAGCTAAAGTAGTACGTTGGTTATGTTCCATAATGGTTCTTCAACGTTTATATCCTTCTGAAAAATAGGCATGCAATCAAAATTCTCATCTAAACCAATAGCTGAAAAGCCAGGACTAAATGGAGTACAAAGATTTTGGTTGGTCCCTATCTTAATTTTTGTCCACGGTTCTATTACTCCGCCTACACTGTAATCAGTAGCATTCCTTGGTCATCGGAGCCTCTTCAATCCTAGGGTTTTTCATGTTGGAATTAATTGATAAGGTGTTAAATAATTAAATGTGATATTTAATTATGTGAGCCATTGNGCGCCCCGTCCCCGTCTCCGGTCCCGGTCCCGGCCTCGGCCCTCACACGTCGCAAAGTTCGCATTGGGCGCTTTAGAGGCACACTTTGCACTTCGCACGTACGCATCGTCGCGAGGAGCTGTGGAGCCTTAAAGTTTTCAGAAATGGACTCATGGTTCGATGACATGGCAACGGAAGGCTCGATGAGTTGGCATCCTAAGTGGCACACACGTAACAATTTATGTCACTTCGTCCTGAGTGGCGTTAGTTCAGTTGAACGTACGCATGGCATCTGCATGGCTGGTGACTGTTCATAAATTGGTGAATATGCATGATGAATGGACACTACACTTCATGGTTAAATATGGGCCATTAGATCATGAAACAGTGAGATCCAATGGCTAGGACGTATCAGACCAAGTGGTGCAGTAGTTCATGAAATGTCACACACCCATTCAATGAGACACTTTAATCTTTATAAATAGAGACCTTCAGATTCATTTTTTGTACACCAAATCAATTAATATACTCTTGATTTCTAAATTCCTTCTCTCTCCATATTCTGCAAAAATTTCTTCAATATATTCGTGGTTATTTCGTTCGAGTACGATCATTCTTTGGTTCAACCGATAAGGTTGGTATTGTGCAGTAACGACTTTAGAAGAAGCGTTGTTTCTTGAGAGACAGACGTTCATAATCTCGTTTGCACGTTGTTGGGGGACGAAATCTGTCTTAAGGAGATTTGCTTTGCATACCTCGCTTCATCTTCTGCTTTTATTTCTCTATTATTTTTATTTGTTCTTTCGATTGCGTTAGTCGAATTTCCGACAACAATCTTAAGACAGATCTTTACTTTATTTCTTTCTTCTACATTTCTCTTATTAATTATTTTCTGTAATTGTGGTTTTACCCAAAATGGCTAGTACTATTGAAAATAATACTA